TTATGAAGGAACTAAGTTTTTTATTCGTGAACCGCATATAGACGGTGTAAAGTTAGTAAACGTGATAGTGCTGACGGTCAAGCATTATGTTGAATTGAAACCGACCTGCAGGGTCCCGTCCACATTAGAGCCTTTACAAAATTACTGACCTGCTATCACTTTGATAACAGAAAAATATTTTCAGTCACAATAACGTTTTCACCATGTTATTTCCTTCTTTCCTCGCAAATGCAATTCAAAAGAATTATCGTACCAATGCAATTTTCGACTTCAAAACGCATACTTTTTGATACGATTTCGCTTACCTTCCCGATCAAAATTCTTGAAAACGCTGATGGTAGATTTTTTTTTTTTTTTTGCTCTTTTTAAAACACCGTATTCGGTCTTTTACAGCTCTCGATGCCAAAGACAGCGTTTACAAAGTTACCAGTTTTCAAATAGCTCCTGTTTTGCTTCTCTCGATGTATTCTTTTTTTTTCAGTAACAAAAAAAAAACAGTTTTCTCACATCGTTTTAGCATAAAGGATATACCAAAAGGCTCCGAAACTGTGAAAAGGGTCAACGTACCCAAAAAGGTATAAATTGATGTCAGACACTTCAATACCTTCCCTAACATTTTTTCTTCAGAAAATCGGTTGTTATACATATGAGACAACTGCTAACCCAGGCAAGATTAAAACACAAAGTTTCTCCATTCAAGATAGGTTGTAGTAAATACCACAATCATTCTTGTCAAAACAGGATTCTCAAAGTTCGGGTTCTTCTTTATATCCTTGATGACGTCAGACTGCACCAGACCTCCAGCACACTCGAACTCAATACTTGGTGACGTCACGCTCGTGAGTTCAAACTTTTTCATGTTCCTCACTCCCCAACACAAGATCTGTAAATGACAGTGGGTAAAGGACGACAGTTCTGCAGGCCTGTAATGCTTTTGCGAGATAGAGTAAGTCGAGTAACATGAAAAAGTGTTCCAACAAATAATGAGATTAAGTCAAGTTGTGGATATTTCAAAATTATTTCTCTTTCAAATAACAACAACTTAAAATTAAAGTGGTACCCCTAACATCGATTGCTGACCTCAATCGCTGACCGTTCTAACTTTGGGCGCACACCGCTTCGCACGGTATACAAGTCTCCTCTCATGGGTGGGATGAAGGGTAACTCCGCATCTTCATCCTAAAAATAAGAGATAAATACCTCGTAAATCCGATTCCCTGATACCTTCCCTACACTGCAATTTTAAAATATGAACAAAACATTGCAAATTATTTAAAGGGACTTTTACCCTTTTTTTAACTTTTTTTTAAGACTAACTATTAAAATTTATTCATTTTTACGTCTAATGGCAGACAATTCTGGCCGTTTTATGACAATCAGTTAACCCTTGGAGACTCCTAATAACCACGCGCCCCTGAGAAGTGAGCATCTAGTATTTTTCGGGTACTTCAGCTGTCTATGCTCCAGTAATTGAGTGCCAACACATAGCAAGGCTGTAAGCCTCCCTGGAGGCCCCACATCACATTGGCGATGAAACCGCTTCATACCTTAGCATTGGCTCGTTAACATAGAGCGAATTCCGAAAGAGATAAACAGATGACACTCCTGAAAAAAACGTAACTGTGCGCAATGCAAGAGAACGCCGGGGGAGCACAAAAAAGAAATGAGACTCTTACAAGGAAAAGTTCGCAAGCAGCTAAAATATCGCCTCCTTCCTCGTCTCCTCTTTTGATGGTGAACCACTGCAGTTGCGGCTCAGGAGTTTCGTGTCCATGTAGACGCACCGTAGGTGACATCACACAGCGGCCGAGAAAGCCATCTTTGCCCTGCGCATGTCATGAAACAGCCATCAATATACAAGTGAAAGCTTAGCACGAGATGTCTCATCGATTATATTTTTAAAGATGGATAAAAAACTCAAAAATAAATAAAAGCACTTCTCAGTGAAATGCCCCTCGCCTGAGCTCCTCAAAAAAAAAGCTTCTTCTGTCATTATAATCCTCGAGATGAAGTAAAACGCTGCGTGTTTATCTTAAAAAATTATCACACACAACCTACTTCAAACCTCAAGATTTTCTCGGCAAATTATCAAACAAAACCATTNTTGAGATTATCACAGACTTACCCTATCAAGCCTTAAATAAACGGACCAGCCTGATTTTGTTAGACTTGTGGTTGCTTCACTACAGTTTTCTCGCGTCCCTTTATTAATCGGTAAAGGCGGCCGCTACACTAGCATTATTGTTGGATAGGTGTGTGGCCTATAAAGATCGTGAAAACTCTGAAGGGAATAGGAAACCCTCTTCTTTAGCAGACGACGTCGCTGAAGCCCTGCTAGACTTTGTTGAATGCGTTCAGCTGCTGTGCGAAACTGGAGTGCCAGCGAAAGGATATCAGTAAGAGAAGACCATGGTAATAAGGCACCATATTACGAGGGGCGTCGAATGTTAAAATCATCAGAGGTGATCAAAGTAGTGGTTGTGGAATTTGAAAGGACGAAATGATCTGGTGCGGGGATGCTGGCTTTCTCTCTGAGGGACAACCTTATTGAGAGTAAGTCGCGCTAAAACCATGAGGAAGGAAATTTTAGTGCACTTAGAAAGTAATCCAGGCGATAGCGACGGCCTCCCTCTTTTGGAGCATTTGAGGAATGATAAGTTCGCTTGCTGGGACGACCATTTAACTCATATGGCTAGAGATGGAACCTATGGGGATCAGATAACAATGTATGCACCAGCAAACCTGTACAACATCAACCTCCAAATAATGTCCACTCTTGGAGTTGGTGGGCAGCATGTATTCAGTTCTTCAGCAAGTGTTTCAACAGCTACCGTGTACGTTAGACATTTTGCTAAGAACCACGGCGAACACTTTATCAACTTGGAACAATATACGGATCACAAGGACGGTGGTGAAGAAGGAGAAGCTTCCGAGGATTATGCAAATAAAATGCATATGGAGTAGGATTTTGAAATGGATGATACTGTTGATTATCAGGATGACATTGACGCAAAAAGTGGACCTGATAGTATCGTCGACGATCGTGGCGACACGTATATGACTGCAGATATAGCTAAAGGATTACACATGGCTGCTGAACGAACGAAACGGAGCCAGAATTGCAAATTGAAGCCGACAAAGGCATAGTCAACGATGGTGATAAGCTAATAGATGTTCAGTTTGTTTTAGACGTAGACATCAGCTTATTTGCGGCGAGAAGGGATGACGAATGTCCCATTGCAATTCTTCTTCTTTGTAATTGCAGTCGTAAGTGTAAAGCCTGGTGTTGACTGAGATTAGACGAAGCTAGCGCGGTAGGTGCCACTGACTGTACAGCATAACTGTACAATCACTGAAACCAGCGGTCAAACTTTGGGCATGTGCGAGTGGATCAATCTGGGCCCCGTTTCTCGAAAGTAACTTAACGGACCCGTAAAGTTGTTCTGTTTTCATTCAAGATGGGGATTTCAAAAATATTGAAAATGACACAATAAAACTATTCGCTACAGAAACAAAAAGGACTGGTTTGGTTGCCAGAACCTGCTTTCCTACCCTTTAAATCTTTGTATTTTAAAACATGGCTTCGGGCCCATTAAGTTACCGGCACTTTCGAGAAACGAGCCACTGGCCAGCCACGCACAAATTCCCCGCGCAAAATTTTCATCGAAAACATCAAGAATCAACCGCTGTTGCAAGATAAGTAAAAGAAAATTTATAGAAATCTGTACAAGGAATTAAAAGAAGGGAAAAGAAAAACTGGAGACTTTTCAAACGCAAAGCTTATTCAAATACTTTATACTTCTGTTTTAAACTTAACTAAATACGCCTCTGCACTTCTCACATACAATGACTTACGAAGTCGCAGAAAGGGCAGAANGGAACAACAACAACATTTATTTATACCACAAAGAAATAAGATAAGAAACATTAAGAAACTATATATTTAGCGCCTGCTTCTAGCTTCTAAGCTCTTTCGTGTTACGTGGGTAAACAAATTACATCTACATTTTATTTTTTTACACCGTCAAATTCGGTGTTCCGGGGTGTTCCGGTGTTCCTGGTTTTAGTACATGCTTCTCGGCCTACGTCTCAAACAAAAAAAAAACCGATTAAAATCAGCGAGCGAGCCCGCAATACGCCATTAGTTTTGGTCAGAGGATTCTCTGGTGCAACAGTTTTCGCTTTAACATCTCAATGTAAATGCACAAGAACAGTTAAACTATTTCATTTGAGGCTTAGTACAGTTAGGACTTTATTATGTACTTACATTATGGACTTACATTTAGGCCTTAATTACATTTAGGGAAGTTATTACATTTAGGGCTTCAACAGGCATTGAGATTATCACAGACTTACCACATTCGTCCAGGGTGCAGAGGCTGGTCTCCAGTTTCCCCCAGGAATCATCCTTGCCTCGATTTCAAATACATCCTCTAAGAACGTTTTGTGGCCTGAGTCGCGGTCAAACATTAAGCTAATGAAATAAAGTAAGATGTATCAGTGATTTCAAAAATAGCTCATGGTTAAAGATTAAGATGATACTTTTTCTCTAGTAATTCAAAGCAAGTAAAACAAATGCCATGACCAATGGATTCCTACTGATTTGATTTCGCATGATAATTTGTCGATACAGTTTGGGATACACCTTTATAAAAGATCACCTCCCTTGGCACTCGACATCAGTGTTTTTTTTTTTTTTTCTCGACCCTAAGAACCTGAAATCACCTACAATTCTCGGTTTGGGTTTTCAGATGTCTTTCAAAAAACTGTACGTGAGTGGAAAACAGTGAAGAATATAGTCCAAGATAAGATTGCTTCGGGCACATTATTTGTTCGCACGCAGTTAAAAATAATTCCAGCGTTGTAAGAGCTTTTTCATGAAAAGNATCAAATTGCTAGCTTGTGAAAACGACCTGCAATCATCAATTCCATAATTGTTTTTCAGTAAATACAGCTTTGAGTGCTAATTCTTTTTTAAGGCATTTAAAACCAGGTCTTACTCTTGTGGTTCCCTTGGGGTAATGTCAACCGCAGCGGGTGCTTTGCCCTCTGTGACTGGAAATATATCGACCCATAACTGCAGTTTCCCCTGAAAAAGGATAAGCATTGTAATTATGGCCGAAACAGATCAATAGCACGAAAAAGAATACCGGCACAAAATATACAGAGAATTAAGAAAGAGAGGGAACGAAGAATTAAAGATGCGGCGAGGGCCCAACTTTTAGATCACATGTATATTATTAAGGAAAAGTTAAGATAAGATAGAGTCCATTGAAGACAAACAAGAAACAAGGTACAGGAGAGAGCGGCGAAAATTCTCTGATGAAAACAGTTCATATCAAATCCTAGCCATTGTAACAGGCCATGCTCATTAATAAGTAGTGCGGTCCTTGTATTTGTAGGAATGGTGAAAGCTTAGGCGACCAGGCTGCTTCGGGACGACCAAGCCTCTCTTTAAAAAGAGCGGTGTAAAGCCTTGGACAATTACAAGAAAGGTCTGCACCATGCCTCAGCTAAAAAATAAAGGTTTCTAGAACCCCAAAGTGGCCAGTTAAGAGGAATTTTTTTTTTAATGTGAAGGGTATTATTGGCTTATGTCCGTATTGTGCAATATGGTAGGGCTCTCTACCTGTTCCATGGTCGGTTGCTGTGTTTTGTTATACAGACCCCTTGTTTCCACGTGCTCAGGGACGATGTTCAACTTGTTGAGGACATGCAAAGCCAAGCGACTTTGTTCTTTCCCAAGGTGCGTATGGATTATTGTACCTTCCTCTGAAAAAAGAAATAAAAAAAGGATTTATCGCCAAACTGAAAACTTGAGGGATGATCCGACCGTAGTAAGAAATCCAAATTGAAAATTATTTTAAATCATATAGAGTGTTTAAATAATTTAAGTGGTATTCAATGAAATCCTTTAAATGATGAAACTTGTTGTAGGATCGAATCATATAAAAGTACTATAAAAAGTAGGAGCAAAACTCGGTCCAAATTAACGATTTCGTAAAACCTTGCTGCGATGATAGAGGGAGAGCAGTTTACTTCGCTCATCAAAACATCCTTTTTTCAGTTTTTCGAGCTATTATCGTTTTAATAGTTACAATCACAACATGGAATTACTTTCATGAACTACGCTAAGCTGAAGTAGACAACAACACAAATATGTTATCATAGAGAAAGTTAAGGCAAGGAAACTGAGCCCTCGCACATGCATCATAATAGAATCATCAGTTCTGGACCGATTGGAAAGTCAATCAAATGAATATAAAAACAAAAATGATTGCACCGTGACTAAGGTTTGATAATGATGCTCACCAAACTCAGCCAGAGTATACGTCTGTTCATCCACTACCACAGAGCAAGGTTCATCTGTATACAATGGAAGACTCTTGTTACGCATCACACACCAGTCTCGCAGGATTGTTCTTGGTTTTCGTCCATCTCGCCATTTGTTAGGACCAGATCTTAAACGGCAATAGATAAATTACTGAATCGTAATGAATAGGTTGAGCCATGTCATCTAACTTCTTTCTCCGCCTTCCCCTTTGCCCCGAGAAAAATGCCATCAGGGGAATACTCTCCTATAGGAGCTCTGTTGCCTTCAAAAGGAGTGCCTTTCGAACCTTAGGCTAAGACTAAGTCTGGATATATTGAACACTGCGGGTATACCGCAGAAAGTCCTCTTTATCATGAACCTTCTTTCTCTTTGAAGATACTTTTCTCAAAATTCTATTCTGGTTATCTCAAACAAAATCGAAAGAGAAACAACTTGACTTTGAATGAAAGGGGTAAGTTTCTTTACTGGCGTTAGTCGGCCTTCGTCGTAGCGAACTTGACGTTGAGTTTGATTTTCTAAGATTAGGGAATTCAGTGCTAAGCCTCGATTTACTAACCTATACTCGCAGTAGGTTATTTCTTTTCATAGAAGGAAGAGAATGAGGCTTGACAAACAAAAATGTGTCATCTAGAGGCTCGTCACTACCTTTAAGAACCGAGATTACCACCTGGGACTCATACTTAAAAAAGATTCTGTTTTTTTCCCTTATTATTTAACAACGGAAGATAGGTGTCAACTGAAGGGATAACCTAAGTCGCTGATACTTGAGCGTTGGAATTTCTTACTTGCAGTAACTCTTAGAACATCCACAAGTAGCACGATGTCGAGACAAAAGTCTCTGCTCTAAATCGATCTGTGTTTCACCGATGACGTCATCTCGTCCGATGAGGTCATAATCCATCACGGCGATTTTGAGATCTTTGACCAGAGGTATGGTGGCTGTGAATTCAAAGAGTCTGAAAACAAACGCGAAAAATAGGAATAATGGATTAATATATGCAGAGAACTTAGATAGTCTTCTTAACCGATTCTTGGTGCAGAGTTTGAGGTAAAATGAAACAATAACTGACGAAGGTGTGTGCCGAATCGAAACATGTAATGAGAATTAAAAGGAGAATAGGGATTTACTTGTATGGTGATTCGTAAGTCACAAAAAAGGTTCGTATTCGTCTCGTATTTGAAACATTTTGAAACTTCGTTATATCGAATATCTGAACTTTTTCAACATTGAATCTACAAATCACACTCTTAATCTCACAAAAAACGCATCACGGTACAGATCATGTATGGTAATGATCGTTAGATGCAATACATCATGTAAGGTTACCTTCCAAAGACAGGATTCACTGTGTAAGGTTTATAAACATCTTTGTCATCAAATTTTCGGTCCCCTAGGGTGACTACCAAATATGGGTCGGCCTGGAAAAATAGAGGGATAAAGTGGAGGTCATTTACTGTAAAGTACGCGTGTGCACAAATGGTCCACTTCCCATATGTTTGGAAGTGAGCCAAATATCTGGGCTAATTACATTTCTGAAAGTTCTGTGTAAAGTAGATAATGGTGTAGTCTGATCGTTCAGGACAGTGTATTCCTGAAAAGGACTTTTATAGGTAGTTGTGACTGACGTTTCGACAACCTGAGCGGAAGTCATCATCGGACTCAAAGGAACAGTTGTTGTCAGTCGAATGTTGTCAGTCCAGTTCAAGTAAACTAATTAGTCAGTGTAGCCGTGATGCTATTGGCTATAAGACTCAAGAGGCGTAAGTCGGGCGTAATCGGTCAGTTCGATCCGTCGGTGAAGTTAGGTCATTCTCAGTTCGATTCGTTTGTGTGATGTTAATGTCTTGATTAGAAATTTGTATGGTGCTGGTAGTAATTTACACCTTTTGAGGGGAGTCTGATCGAAGTTAGTAAACCAGCTTTCAAGAGCCAGTCATTGAAAATTATTGGTGCTGTAGATCAGGCATTGTGCAGAGTCCCAGTCAATAGTGTGTTTCGTGAGTCGATGAAAGGTGATGTGATGTCAACGATTAATGTCACCATTATCAACAACAGTCCTTCTCAGGACTATACGCACTTGGACGATCAGACAACACGATCACAATCTTTTATTGCCACACTGCTCAACTCTTTAGCACTAGGGCTGATCATTACTAATTTCGCTTAAAATTGCTCTTCGGTTTGTTACTTTTTTCCCTTTGTCTATTAATATTTTATCGCTAATCTCCTTTAAGAAAATTATCTCTTTAAAGTTCCGAATCCTCTGAAAAAAACTTACTGTTCCAGAGTCATCTCTGGGCTGAAGTTCCAAAGCCTACAAAAGAAATCAAATGAAACAAGCATTCTATGGTACAAGCTAATCAGCACATCTAAAATGAACAGATAATTGTTCGCATAAACTGCTATTTTCTCCAGCGCAATCATATGAGTTAGGTACCCGTTTATGGTACATTTTAATTCTAAAACTAACGGTTTAGATTTTTCAATTTCTACGCCTAAAGAGTAGCTAAGGGTCAAAACGATTGAGACCCCCTTTGTTATGCCTGCGTTTTGGCTCTTGTGCTCTTCAAAACAAACTCTCGTCTTTCTTGACTTTCTCTCTCTTACCTGTTGTCTTAAAAGATTATGGCACAAAGAAATGTTCACTCAAGTTAACAAATGGAACAGATAATCCACTGAAGCGGTGTTTCTTATTACCTTGATGACATACAGACGGACAATGCACTCTACCGGTTTGCCTGGTGGGAGATTAGTAAAAACAGTATCTGGTAAGGGACTATTCCTTTCATCTTCTGGCATCGGGTACACTCTGAATGTTCCCTAGATATAAAAAAAAAAATGATGAATTTCAAAAATTGTCATACCACCGTGACCATTGGCAAAGTGTAATGTGCGCTCGCTTTTTTAAACAGCAAAAACTTCCTTTACCTTAAATTCCCCAACGATCGTATCTGCCTCTTCTTCTCGCGACTTCGCTCTTCCGCGGTAAATAGGAAACGTATTTATAAAGTCCTCAAAGCCATTAAACTTTTGCACTTTCTCCAACTCAGTTTGATATACCTTGAATTTAAACGCCATGATTTTAATTGTTTGACACTGCTAAAAGAAAATATTTTTCTTGACCTCTGCAGTGAGACGCTACAAGGCTTTTTTTCTGAAACGGCCCACGACCAACTTTAAAAGCTAAATTACGTCAATCAAAGCTGAGAATGATGGCATGTTTTCACTAGGTGGTATCCAGCAACTGCTTAGAACAGGAAAAAACCGCCCTAAAAATTCTGTAAATAATGATATTACATTACTTAAACAATGTCCTTGATTCTCAATGAGAAGGGAGTTTTAAATTTTGCCATTTTTCAGCCAAGTGAAGGTTCATTTCACAATCGAACAAAGTATGGTATCGAATTTAATGGTTTGGACATACATGCAGGCTGCTTGCATGAGTTTTGCTACTGTATGAGTGGTGTAGGTAATTTTTACACCAACGTACTCAACAAACTAGAAACTAATAATTCTTAATAATTCCTTCTTGAAAGAAGGATTTTCAAGAAATTTATGTTTCATGCAATTCAGTTTTCACTTCCTGAAGTGCCCAATATTTTACACGAACATAAACCGTTGAAAGCATCGCTTCCTTGAAAGCTAGAGAGCCAGGCGTTCAATTAATATAGAGGAACATTTTCTTTGTCTTAAAAGTTTTCAAAGGACAAAAACACATTTTGGTCCTAATTAGAGAAAAAGTGATCCCTGACCCTTGTATCTGTT